CACAATGACCGGTAGACGTCGGTCCAAACATGCATATAAACTCTCAGCCCACGCCTCCATATATACTAGTATACTCCAAGTTAACGATTAATTTCCGAGGAGACTAAAAATCACCAATTTTTGTCCGGTATACAGTTATGAATTAAATCGGTGACAAAGTAGTAATAGCGGCACTAGCAGTAACACTAACGATGACAGTAGTATTAGCAGTATTAGTCAGTTCGTGAAGGGTAGAGTTTATGGAGCAGAAAATTAGTTCAGACGACTGGATACTCGAGGGTTATTTTAATAAGGGTCTTAGTCATGAATTTTTCAAGGCGGGTCAGCCACGATCAAAAGAACAAGACGCTCAAACTCAACGGTGAATTACCACTCTTGCTTCCTCTAGTTACCCACAAAAGCGGGATGGTAAAAAAGCAAATACTACATAACGAACCTCCATGAAGAGCGTCCACAACGATTTTAAATGGCGGATTGCCGTAAGCCCCAGCGAGGAAGTTCTTAATCAGTTGGAAGTCGAAGATACTATCACACATCTCCACGTAGTCGTCAACACCGGACACGATGTTGACCTACGTGCAGAAAAAGATAGTCAGAAAGTAGGAAACGGTTAAGTTGGATGCAGAATGCTGCCTTTCTTCAAGAACGAAGAGCAATAATGGTTACCTTGAAGGTCCGATTGCCTTCAATTTGGTACTCAGATGTGCCTATTCGGCTCAAGTCAACATTCATTTTCTGACTGATTGTGGAATACTCGTACATAGTTTTGGTGATCTCGTAGATAGCATCAGTTAAATTTTCGGGGGCCGGACCGCCGTTTTCAATGTTATACTTGATCCCAAAATCGCCATGCGGACCGCCGGGATTGTGGCTTGCTGTCAGAATTATACCGCCGTTGGTTTTGCGCTTTCTGATCATACAGGAGACCGCCGGAGTGGAGATTATACCATTTTGTCCAATAATCAGCTCGGTAACCTAGTAGAAAATAACATTGTTCTGAGTAAGTGGGCAAGAGGCAGAAAGAAA